CCAGTTAAAATATTCAAACTCAACACAAACAACAGAGATGTGTTTGTGTTGAGTTGTTGCGGATCCCCATTACCGTTTGGCAATTTTATTTATTTATTTATACACACAGCGCATATGAATTAACAATTAGATAATGAAAATTACGCGCGACTAATATTTGTTTGTTTTTTATGTTATTTATTATGTTTAAGTGGCTGATAAATACAATTTATTAACAATTAGAAATGGGTTTAAAGTGAATATAAATTATTGATTATTATTAGTATTTTTATGGTTAATAAACTGAATAACAATCTATAGTTTAGACACTATATTAAACTAATCAGTAATTAATTGTTTAAAGTATGTATTAGAAACTGAACCTTATATTATATTTTTTAATCTAAACATTTAATAAGTTATATTAAAATTTTACCTAAAATATGTTTAAAAGATTATTAATCACTTCATTAGAAATATCAGAATAAAAGATATAAATTTTTAATTTCCTAATAATATATATATATATTTAAAATTAATATCATGTAGTTTTTATACTGTATTTTAATTATAAGAACATTCTTAATTAACCAAAAAACTGAGACTGAACCTTTTTTCATTCAACAGCTTTTCAAAGAAGAAAAAAGAAAATGGGTGTGGGTTTCTCTCCTCACTTTAATATAAATATAATTGTTCAAAAATGCCAAGTAATTAATTGGAAATGTTTTAAAAATAAACATATAAAATAATTAATAATTATTTTAAATTTACCATCGAATTTCGATTTCTTTTCAATTATATAATAAAAAATATCAATAATAATATATTTATTAATTTTATTATTAAAATAATATTACAACTTAATTATAAAATGTTGATAATTTGAATTGGTTAATTGCAGGGCTGCAAACCGGATTCAACTGGTGGCTAGCCCGTGTTAATTTTTAAATATTTTCAGCCAGAATTTGTGTTTGGAACTATTATTTTTAATTCGTTGAATAAATTAATTAGGATTTGTCAGCCAGTAGTGATAAAAAAATGGCTAGCCACAAAATCGTCCGAACTATACACATTCTAAATGATGGTAAAAAAGAAAACCATTTAAATAATGAGGAATAGAAAGTATAGTTTTATGTAGTTTTGAAAAGCCATAACAAATCTCCATGTTTTTATAATAGTTTTAAAACATAGTAAATTAAATTAATGGTAATAGTTTGTCGTTTGTGTCAAACAAAAAATACATAAGTAAATTATAGTAATAAATGATTATTTATTCAGAAATAAAAAACACAGAAAACAAAAAGACAAAAAACAAATTGTTACCATTTTATATTTATGTTTTTAATTTGTGTTAATGTTTATTTCTGTGAATTTGTAATGTATCACAACCATCTATTTCGAATAAATTTATATAACATAAATATGTACATTTAATTGTTTGATGTGTTGTGTTTTCATCAACAGACATTACTTGTTTTTATATATAAATAATCATTAGGATTTTTGAAGTGTTTTAATTAATTATTCTACAAAACGATGTACTACTTGATAAAATAAAGTATATTGTTATTTGACATGTATGCAAAATACACATTCAAATAAATTACCCAAATCTAACACGTTTTGAATTTTAAATAATAAAGAAAATGTTTGTAATATTCAACATTAACAATTTGTTTTAAATAAAAAATGATAATATAATAGTGTAACATTAAAAACATAATTTTCAACGACCATTTAAATGTGTATGGAAAGGGATAATACAAACAACTAATTATAATTAATATGTATTTTTTAGAATGATATGAATTGTTTTTGTGAGTCAAAACAAATAGTTAAATTTTGTACAAGTCGTTCCAAAGTTGTTAACAAGTTGTATTGAATTTTAAATATAAAACTATTATCATGTTTTCATTATCAAATGTGCTATTTATAACACAACAAAATTCACATAAAAATATATATATTTATATGGTATCGTCCAACCTTGTAATGTCAATTTATATGTTGTTTAATTATTATTCAATAAAACAACAAACTGTCATCTAAATTAATTTGTGTTAAGATTTTAAATCACTTTATTCTATATTTTGGTTCTAATTATCCTAATATTTAAATTGAGAAATGTATCAAAACTCTTTTTGTGTTTTATTTGATACACTGATTAATGAATACAATAAAACAGTGATTACTTTAAAGTTTAAACAATTTAAATGATATGTCATGTTCTAAAACAAAATGTAATGACAACATTTTTATTTTACTTCAATCCAATAACATTTTCCTTTTATTTATTTATGCCATTCAATCAAAATTTTACTCAAAAACTTATTTGTTTTATTTTTCTTTGGTTTTTGGTTTAAACATTTAAATTTTTCTATTTTTTTTTTCTGGTTATTATTTGTTTTTCAAAACACTTTTGGTATTATTATTTGAAGAACCAAATAAAGTGTAGTTTTGAGCATATTATTCAAAAAAATTCCCAAAACAGCATTTTTTTAATTTTTATAATTATTTTCTTTAAATTGAGCAAAAATAATTCTTTTGTGAATAGGATTATTAATTTTATC